TTATATTCACATATATTTGTTACCTTTTGGCGGGCCTCTCTGAGCTTGCTGGTGCCAATTAGAGGTTTTGGGGACTCAAGGCAGAGATCGTGGATTGGCATGTCGGGCAGCCAATAGCACTGCCAAAAGGTGCCAAGAGGCTGTATAAAAGCTTTTCCCCTCCAGGCATTGCGCACTTCTGTTCATGCTCTCCGGAGTGAGAACAGTGGCCCTCTCCCAGATGGTGGAGGTGCTCAAGCCCTTCCTGGAAACCATGGGCATCTTGTGTGGTTATATGGCAAGCCTGGGGCAGGTCATCCCCCTGATTCATGCCCTTGATTGGTCCCTGGAGACTGCTGCGGCACCAGGATCCTCCCTCCTTCCATGGACCAGGGCTTTGGTGAAGAGGTTGCCTGTGTGGTCCTTGAATCAAGGGGGGGCTTGGCAACACGCACCTCAGACCTCAAGGAGTGGAGAATGGAGCTCTCCACTGAGGTCCGCAGAGCGTTGGGGACACAACGCTTATGTGAAGTGATGGGAACGTCAGGCCATGGGTGGTTTGCCAGGTGAAGGCTCCATTCACCACCACCATTACTGGAGCTCTGTGGTGACCTTGGCACTTGTCTCAGAGGAAAGACAGCTGGCTGATGAGTTTTCGGCAGAGATAATGGTGCGGTCTTATAGTTCCTGAAAGAACAGCAGAGACATGGAGTATTAAGGATTCACGTGAATGGGAAGCAATAGAAAATAAAATAAAATCATAGCATGGAATTGATGGTGTGGTGGAGGTGTGCAGGACATGACTTCTGTTCCTCAAGGTGCATGGAGTTCTTAAAAGGAAATTTATTCAGACATTTTAGGCTATATCTTCACACAAGATTGTGCCTTTTGCTGAGTCACAGCTCTAATCCTTGGTAGTCCAGTTGGGTCAAGCTTGACTGGCAGCCGCTTTCTATGGCTTGAGGTGAGGCCTGCCTGGAGATCTTGGGTGATTACCCATCCGGATACTAACCTAGCCCAAACCTGCTTAACTTCCACAATCAGAAGAGAACATGGCGAGTACTACTGGTGTCTGTGGAGGGGGAAGCTGGCGTGCTTGTTCCTCCAAATCCTACATCTACACATGACTTCATGGGCCCACTAGCTGAAATCCTGTGTCACATTATGCAAACAGGGTACTGTAACTTTTGGAAGTGAACTGCTATCAGTGAAGAAATCTTCACCAGCATTATCTGTTGCATATTGAATGGCCCAACTCAGCATACAACAAGACCATGTTTAGAGAGTTTTCTTAATTTATGGCATTTTGTCTGTAAAAGTTACACTATTTGTACAGTGGTGCCTCACTTAAGGGGAACTCCGTTTAGCAACAAAACCGCATAGCGATGAACTTTTTGCGATTGCAAAAGTGACCGCTTTGTAATGTTTCCTATGGGTTTTTTTCACTTTGTGATGATCGGTTCCCTGTTTCACTTATCGATCATCGCAAAGCGATGATTTCTTAACAGCTGATTGGCGGTTCCAAAATGGCTGCTGAGTAAACAAAATGGCCACCCGCTGTGTTTTCGCCGGATTCCTCGCTTAAGAGGCAGCGAAAATGGCCGCCGTATGGAGGATCTTCGCTTTAAGTTCAGTTTTAGCCCATAGGAATGCATTAAACAGGTTTTAATGTGTTTCAATGGGCTTTTTTAAAATCGCATAGCGATGCAATCGCTTAGCAGCGATTTTTGCTGCACGGATTAACGTCACTATGTGAAGCACCACTGTATAATTGCACAAAAGGATTTCAGCCCGTGTATTTACAATGGCACACGCTATGTAAACAAATAATACTAACTTATCCCTCTGCAGCTTTGCTCACCTCAGAAAAATTCCTGCAAATGGGCATCCTTGGGTAGCATTTCCATGTAAGCTCTTCATGTAAGTTATGTTTCATCAAGTTTAGTTTCTTCAGGACTCCTTTGTTCTTTCCTTTTCAGGTCATGGCAGAGCCAGATTCCAGGGGAAACAGTTCATCACAGCTTTTATGCAAAATTATGAGTCAAGGGGCACTGTAGAAACAAGCTTGCAGCTGTTTCTCACTGGTTACAACAATTCCACTCCAGTCACTGTGACCCTGGCCAAAACTTCCACACAGAAAAGCTATGTGCTCAATGAAGGTGAAATGATGCCTATTGATATCCCAATCACTGCAGAGATGAAAGGCAGTGGTATATTTGATCAATCGGTCTTGATTCAGGCTGGCAAGGACATTTCTGCTGTATTGTACGACAGGAAGAAGTATTCTGTTGGAGCCACGACTCTGTATCCGGTCCATGAACTTGGCACAGAATATTACATCATCACTCCAGCGGGTACCAAAGCAACAGGCTACTTAAAAGAATTTGCCATCATCGCCTGGCAGACTCCAACAAAAGTGGATGTCTACCTGAAAGGAACAGTCATTTTTGACGGGCAGTCGTACAGCACAGGAAGTAAACTCACCATCCACCTTGCAGCTTTCCAAGTTGCCCAGCTACAAAGCTCAGATGATTTGTCCGGCACCAGGGTTCTGTCATCCGCGCAAGTGGCAGTCTTAAGTGGGCACGTCTGTGTTCAGCAAAACTATTACTGTGATCAAGTCGTTGAACAGCTCTTGCCAGTCTCTAGCTGGGGTACCACCTTCATCGTTCCGCCTGTGTTCATCCAGGACAGCGGTGATACCGTCTATGTAGCTGCATCTCAGACCACTCGCGTTCATTATCAAGTAGGGAAATCAAAAAGCTATCATGACATGGTGGCTGGCGAAGTACTCCAGCTTGAAATACATGCACCCCAAGCCTTATACATCTCTGCCAATGCTGGAATCCAGGTCCTTTTATTCTTCCCTGGCATCACGGTAGGAGTCAAAGGCTACGATCCATTCCTCATCAACGTTCCATCCATATCAAGTTATGGCCTGTCCTACTACATTAACGGACTGGACAAGTTTGGGAACTATATCGTTATCATAGCAAAGAGCTCTGAAATCAGTAGCATTACTGCAGACAAGGCAGCTATCACGGGCATTCAGTGGACAGAGGTCCCTGGTTCAGACTATTCCTGGGGTGAAGGCGAATGGGCCACCACAACAAAAACCATCTCTCTGGAGCATCCCAGAACACCCTTTGGTGTCTTTTTCTTTGGTACCAGAAACTACGAAGGCTTTGGTTTTGCTCCACCACCTCTTGAGTCACTTGGTAATTATTATTCTTGGGTTGTGTATCCATCTATACCCCATAATCCTAGTTTCTTTGCAGAAATTATTCTAGGTTTTTCAGATAGGTGGGCTTATAACATGATTTTTTTTGGATTTTAAAGGATTTGGGGGCTCTGTTCATAACAAAGAGACATTAGCCTGTATCTCAGCTGTTTCTCACTGTAAAGGTCCAGATGTCTCTGAGGTTATAAAAGCCATTGGATGCTCAGTGTGGTGTAGTGGATGGACGTACAGACTTGGAGACCTAAAAGGTTTGGCTTTGAATCCCTGCTCAGGAATGGAAACTCGCTGGAGTGTGTGGAACTGGTAAAACCACTTCTTACATATCTCAGTAAACTTGAAAGTCCTATTAGCGTATTTATGAATCAGTTCCAACTTGATGGCACACAATAACCTACAAGCCATTCCACCTTTCATTTTTGGAACATTGAGAGCAAAGTTATTCGATTCTGACAAGCATCTGCAGGGACTTAAAGACACATCGTATTCAGTTACCTGATGTTATCCTACAAGGTATTTGTAAGCACAGTTATCTGTAGCAAAGGACTTGTTCAGGGGGCTTCTTAACCCATTCAATGCTTCTCCAGCAGGTTTTCTGTTAAAATCACCCATATATGATCCATGTGGATACTGTGGATATAAAATTAATACCTTGAAGTGAATTCCACAAATCCTGAAAGAAAAATTTGAACTTGAGAAAACCAATGCCATGTTCTTTAGACAAGTTACACAAAAAAAGGTCCAAAACACCACATAAAATCACTGGATAGTTCAGGGGTTTAGATGGAACCAGAGGTTGGGAGTTTGATTCTCCACTGCACCTCCTATGAGTACAGCCAGCCTGGGTGGCTTTGGGTAAGGCTCATGGTCCTAGGATGGCCCCAGAAGAAGCAAATGGTAAACCACTTCTGAGCATTTTCTACCTTGAAAAAGGTTAAAAGGATTGCCATAAATCAAAATTGACTTCACAGCATATAATAATGATGATTAGCTGTCTACATCCCTTATCTCTTACTTCAATTGCACCCTAGTGGATCTGCCTGGTCCTTTGCTACATGGGATTTAATACACTCAGCCTAATGGTAGGGCTGGCCTTGACTCTAAATTAACACAGTCCTTGAGGAGGAACTTGGAAATGAACTTCAGATATATGTATTTTTGTCTATTGTGAAAGGCAATCTGTTGGAATACCTGACTGGTGTGTGTTTCTTTTTTAAAAACAATGTTTTATTCAGATTCTTCTCCGGTCTTGCCTCCTGTCGTCATCCCCTTGACCTGTCCCAAGAACAGCCACTATGAAGCCTGTGGAAATGCCTGCCCAGCCACCTGCGCGGATCGAGCAGCTCCCTCCACCTGCAAAAAGCCCTGTGCAGAAATCTGTCAGTGCGATGACGGCTACGTCCTTAGTGACGAGACATGCATCCCGGCCATGAGTTGTGGATGCACATACAAAGGTGTGAGCTACAAGGCAGGAGAAGAGTTTTGGGGGGACGAAGACTGTCACACATTGTGCAGGTGTGAACCCCGATTAGGCCGGGCAGTGTGCATGAAGTCCTCATGCAAGGGCAAGAAGAAATGCACCATGCTCAACGGAATCCGAGGCTGCCATGATGTCACGTATAGCACCTGCATAGCATCTGGAGACCCACATTATCTCACCTTCGATGGAAAGAAATACGATTTCATGGGGTCCTGCGTTTATCAGATGGCAGGGGTCTGCATCGAACATCCCAATCTCACACCGTTTTTGGTCACCGTTGAAAATAATAACCGAGGAAGCAAGGCTGTGTCCTTCACCAAAGTGGTGACTCTAGTAGTCTACAACATGACCATCAGCTTGAGTCAACAGTATCCACGCAAGGTCCAGGTATAAACCCAGGGTGTAATGGCATTCATGTCCTGGCAATAGTATCCCCATAAACAACTGATTGATAGAAGGAAATGTTGAACTAGATAGGCTTTTGGTTTGATCCTGCATAGTTATTTTGTGCGTATTCTGCTAAGGGAGGGGGATATGTGAGGAAACTTTGAATTAGGTCTGTTTCTGTGAGAGAGCTAGTTCTCATACTATGAGGCTCTGAAGTTGGTTGGTGTGTATTTCTGCCTGAAGTAGAGGATAAGATTATATTCTTCCCATGCCATTTAAAGAGGTTATCTTGAGTGACAGATGATTTTTACTTCAGCATTGGTGATGAGTAGAAGTTGGGTTTGTGTGGGATTTTTGGACTCTAAATCCCAGAATTTTCCAAGAATTCCCCAGGGAGAACTCTGAGGGTTCCAGCCCACAAATCCACACCTTGTATTCTCATTGTCATCTAGGCTCTGTAGAGAGCACCTCCTGATGAACCATCACCTCCAGGAAGCAATGCAAGAGTTTGTGTCTGGAAAACACTGGCACAGGAAATGAAGGGCTAGAAAGAGGCCAGGAAGGAAGGAAGGAAGGAAGGAAGGAAGGAAGGAAGGAAGGAAGGAAGGAAGGAAGGAAGGAAGGACATCCTTACTTATTGGACTTTATTTTTCACCCTACCTGAAGTCAGTACGTTAATCCACAAAGTGCAGAGTTTGGGAAATTTATTTTTGGGGATGATAGCCAGTTGCCACTGGCTATGCTGGCTGAGGAATTCTGACAGCTGCCATCCCCCCAAAAATAATTTTCTGAAGGGTTACCCTCCCAACTATCTCCTACCTGAAGTGACTTCTTTATCTAATCAGAGGGATGGGCCAGCTTTTAAAGCACGGAGATGAGTAAGCCAGAGAAAATGGAGTGAGCAATTTTAGAACAGAGGCAATCTAACCTTTCTACAAGAACGCCATGGAATGGATAATTTTTGTCTTCTCATAATTTGTGATGGTATCCTAAGACTAAGGATTCCTTTCTCTTGCTCGAACCAGCAGAGATGAATAAACCTTATAGGGCCATTCATAAATTACTTCTCTATTCCATCACTAATTACAATCAGACCAAACTCGTTGGTTTCAGAACTCACTGAAGCCCGTTGTGATTTTCCTTCCACGTTTTCCAGGTCAATGGAGTTTCTGTGAACCTTCCATTCTCCTATGAAAATAAACTGAAGGTCTACATCAGTGGGGTCCATGGCTTCATCAAAACAGACTTTGATATAAGAGTCACCTTTGATTGGCACAGCTATGCCAGGGTCATTCTTCCTGACATTTATGCTGGTTCTGTTTGCGGGCTCTGTGGCAATGCCAATAAAGACCCCAGCGATGACTTCACCATGAAGGACGGACAGCAGGCGGCGGACATCAGTCTATTTGCGGACAGCTGGAAGTTGAAAGAGCTTCCAGGGTGCTCAGCAGGATGCTCCAACTGCCCAGTTTGCAGTGCAGCAGAGAAACAAATCTATGAGGCTGACCGTTACTGTGGAATCCTCAGAAGGAAGAATGGCCCATTCAGGCAATGTCATGCTGCCATTGACCCAACATACTATTTTGACGACTGTGTCTTTGACGCTTGCCAATACAGGGGTCAACATGAAGTTCTGTGCAGTGCCATCAGTGCATACATGATAGCGTGCCAAGCCCAGGGTGTCCAGATTGAACAATGGAGATCATCTTCCTTCTGCAGTAAGTGTTACTTTATTATCCAAGACGACTTAAATATTAGGGTGCAACTGTTATCCTTTACTTCAGTTTTTAAATGGGGCTTCCAACATCAAGCATAAAATGTGAAAGCAGGCTAAATTAGATTCTACCATAAAGATATAACTTTACAAGAAGGTCTGTCATAACTATTCAATGTTAAATGTATTCTCAAATGCTATTTGCGTTTCAATGTTAATTTCATACTCAAGATTATTTTTTTCGAAACCCTATAGAATAAATCAAGCTGCTAGTCCCAAATACAGTAGACCCATTTAATCTATGGGATTTATTTAAATACTGGCCTTCAATTTGGTAGTTGCTTCATTCAGTCTACCGTAGTTGGGACTAGCAACTAGATTTCAGCTACTAGATATGAATTCAAAATGCTAGTCATCTTTCTTCTGAACTAGTGCATGAATATGAAGTTGCAATTATGTTATTTAACAAGAGTTTTCACCATGATGGCGCCACAATGAGGTCTTCAGAATTTTGGAATGCTGCATTCTTATTATTGTCATTGTCTCTTATTGTCATTGTTGGTTTATGTTCTTCAGTTCTTAAGTCTACGGACTTTCATGAGGAGACTTTGCTGGGAAATATGATCAAGAAATATATACCTCTGAAACTTATATTCACAAGGCTCAATGCGCAGAGGGAACAGATTGCCTTATTGCTGAGCCTCCACCCTGTGTCTCATGGCTTCTCACCCTTCATCCATAAAATATACAGTCAGTGCTTCAGTATATGTGGAAGCCGACATACATAGACTTCCTCAGGTCAAGTGGATGATGGGGGGCAGGAGAATGGGTGTTGATGAGTCCAATTTTGAGGGAGCAGTAGGACTGCTCTAGGCTTTATGTGAGTTCTCAAAAGTGTTGAACTCTATGCTTAGAATAGGGTCAGCATTTTAGAGAGCTCTTGTAAAGTTTGGACTAAATCCTAGAGTGAGATGAGGTCTAAAAAACGCATGTCATAGGACCTGTGATATTTTCCTTTGGAGATCCTTTTTAGCTGACTAACATGATAGCAGGGCTGAAATGAAATGAATCCCTTTTCTGGCTTCTTAAACATCAAGGCCTAGATCCTGTCCTATCGAGAGTAAAATCACTGCAAAAGTGGGTATATGGCAAGTCAACGGTGGCGTAAATCCCATTGATTCAATAGGCCTACTCCCATTGGGACTAGTCATTGGATTTAAGCTTACGGTCTCTATGGCAACACCTACTATGCTATGTTGTGATGATTAGGAAAAAAATGGCTCTATCTTTCCTTCTAGGCCTTTCTTGCCCACATAATTCCCACTATGAAGTCTGTGGAACTAGCTGCCCGGGCACATGCCACAACTTTTCCACTCCAAAAAGCTGTCATGCTCCATGTATCGAAGGATGTTTTTGTGACTCTGGATTCATCCGCAGCGGGGAACGGTGTGTCCCTCTTTCTGAGTGTGGCTGTGTCCATGAAGGCAGGTACTACCAGAAAGGAGAGGAATTCTACCCCAGCACTTTTTGCCAGGAGAAATGCCAGTGCACGGACAACAGCTTCATCGAGTGCCAACAGTTCTCCTGTGGACCTCACGAGGTGTGCAGCACAATGAATGGGGTCCAGGGCTGCCACCCTGAGGGATATGGAACAGCCACAGTGTATGGTGACCTACATTATATTTCCTTTGACGGAAGAAGTTTCAACTTGCGTGCCTCCGGCTCGTATGTCTTCGCCAAAATCTTTAGCGAGGAGGGTGACCAGCGAATGAAGTTCTCTGTGGTGGTGGAGTATGAGAAACTTGAGGATGGGACTTCCACTTTAATAAAATCTGTTGTGGTCTATACTGATGAACATACCATTGTCTTGGAGAGAGGAATGCAATGGAAAGTTATGGTAAGTAAGATAAATCTTTAAATTCACTCGTTTTCAATTTTTTCCAAGATGAAGTTCATTCCATTCTGCTTCTCTGCGAGTGCCTGATTTCCTTTAAAAGCCCATGGAAATTCATGGAAATTCATGAGTGTTTCTATGAATATGTGCATTTTCCTGTGTATATCTCTTGGCATGTGTTGTTGGCATGCAAAACCCAATATTTTCAAATGAGTTGCATTTATGGGCCAGCCTTCCACCTACAGCTGCATTTTCTAAATGTGTTTTAAAATTGTGAATAGCCTCTTAAATAGAGGGGAAAGGCAAATAGAGAGGTACAGGGACCTTCTCTTTTGTGTATTACCCCTTTACGGATTGCTGCCTTGTCATGGTGAAAGGGCTTGAGTAACGCAGGGAAGCTACTGGCTATGCCATGCAGGGACACCCAAGACAGACAGGTCATAGTGAAGAGTTCTGACGAAATGCAATCCACCTGGAGGAGGAACTGGCAAGCCACTCCAGTATCTTTGCCAAGAATGCCCCATGATCAGAAACAAAAGGCTAAAAGATATGACGCTGGAAGATGGGACCCTCAGGTCAGAAGGCGTCCAACGTACTACTGAGGAAGAGTGGAGAACAAGTACAAGTAGCTCCAGAGCTAATGAAGTGGTTGGGTCAAAGCTGAAAGGACGCTCAGCTGTGGACGTGCCTGGAACTGAAAGGAAAGTCCAATGCTGCAAAGAAAAATATTGCATAGGAACCTGGAACGTAAGATGAATTTGACACAACTCCGGGAGGCAGTGGAAGATAGGAAGGCCTGGCATGCTCTGGCCCATGGGGTCATGAAGAGTCGGAAACAACTAAACGACTAAACAACTGAGAAGCATCAATTTGAGGATTGAGTTTGCATTAAAATGCAATGTAAACATATTTTTCATCCATTTCTTCATACATTTTTATCACACAATAATAACAGAGATAGAGAGAGAGATCTGCCTCCTTCAAGGTTATTTGCTTTACTCCAGGTTAGGATCTGGCCTATCAGTGGCTCCCCTCCCCTCCATCTCTTGGGAAGAAAGGGAGTCTCACCTATTTCTAGTAAGAGAATGGCAACAGATAATGGAGATTTATCTGAATATGTAAAATAAGTCCTGTCTGGTTAAGAAGAGACCCTTGAGGCTCAGCTGAGGACCCAGCTGGTTCCTGCAAGTCCTGTCTGAGACAACTCTTCACTTTCCTTGAGCAGAAGGTGGGGAATCCAGCAGTCATTGATTTAAGCACCACGTAGAAAACCTGTCCCTAGCCAGGGACCCAAAGATAGTGGTGCTGCCCCAATGTCATCCAAGGACAGAGCTTGGAGTAAAGAAATCCACCATTCGTTCTGCTTCACTCCTGCATTACAGTTATGCTACATCTTTCTGTAGACCTGGTATGTGCACCTCCATTCATGTAGCAGGGTATCTGTTTGATAGCCCATGAACAGAGAAGGGCAGGAATTAAAAAATGAATCACCAAATGTGTTCAAAAATCACTAATTTGTCCATTAATATTTGTACAAAACAAAGCTCCCCAACAAATACGAATCAATGGATTTTTAGCAAATGTTTTCCGGAGCCAACTGCTTAAGTGCACTTTCCTGGGAGGGGGCCTAATTTGTGGGTCTACAACTTGGATGTCTGAAATCCACTCTTCACCAAACTTGGATGGTTTGTAGAGGAGAGTCAGTAAAAGATTCTTTGTGATTTTGGTATCTTTAGCAGTCTGGGGAGACGTTCTGGGGGTGTCCTTACTTGTGGGCATATAACTCAGACGTCCAAAACCCAAACTTCACCAAACTAGTGTGGCTTGTAGAGGAGAGTAAAGGGAAGCTTCTCTGTCATTTTTGTGTCTCTAGGTGCCTAGGGGCCATTTTATAGGGTTTTAAAGTTAAAAAATGAATCAAGTTGTTGATTCATCAGAAAAAGATTTGTAAATTCGTAATTCATGGTTCGTCCACCTTGACGAATCATGAATCGAAACAAATCACCATTTCTCTGATTCATGCCCATCTCTAGCCATGAATATTATTTCTTTTGTGTTGTTCATGCAGGTGGATGAAGAACTCTACAATTTGCCACTGATTAAAGATGATGGGAAGCCCTGGATCACTCAGGAAGGGAACAATATCATTATTAGGTCTTCTGATGGATTCAAAGTCATCTATGACACGTCCTCCTATGTCCAGGTTACCATTCCCCTCTCTTACCAAGGAGAGGTGCAGGGTCTTGGTGGCAATTTCAATGGCGATAGTACTGATGACTTCATGATGCCCAACGGAACTCTGGCAGCAAGTGTGGTGGACTTTGGGACCTCTTGGCATGTGCCCGTTGGCGGCGTCGGTTGTTCCGATGGCTGCACTGTTGAGGAACCTCTTCCTTTTGATCCAGACAAGGTGGCAGTTTATGAGGAAGAGTGTTCTTGCGGAATGATCAAAGATGAGACGGGGCCATTCACGGATTGTCACACATTTGTGAGCCCTGCTGAGTACTTTGAGAACTGCCTGTCTGACATGGGGGCCAGTGGGGCACGACACGTCCTCTGCCAAAACCTTCAAGCCTACACAGCTAGGTGTCAGGCAGCTGGAGCTGAGGTCAAGGCATGGAGAACAGCTTCCTTCTGTCGTAAGTTTGCACAATGGGGTTCTCTTGTTTAATCTTTTCATGGTGAAATGTCGGAAGTCTTGGAAGCCTTCTGAGTTGCTGCTGTAGCTCTGCATGCCAGGCTGCAATGCTGTGGTTACCATAGAAGCTGAGACTGACAGAATTCTGCTTCTGCATAAAGTTCCTAGATTAATGTTCCTTCTCCCTAAAGCACCAATACAACAAGTATATTTAGAAACTTTGTTTTCTATTTCCTTTTTAGTCGATACTCCTTAATTCCCTAAAACACTGGCTCCAAACCTTGGGTCCCCAGAAGCTAAAAGTCCCAGAAACTAGATATGCTGGCCAGGATTTCTGGGAGTTGTAGTTCAAGAGACCCAGGAGACCCAGAGTTGGGAACCACTGCTCTAAAATTCTCAATCTTGTCCCACTTCCTTCCTGTCAGAGATGCCAACCTCTTCCATCTGGGCTCTTGTTCAATTATATTTTTCCTTTGTATTGTGTTTCTCCAGCCCCATTGACAGTGCTGGTTAGAGTAGGTGGGAAATGCAGACCATACATTGCTCATCTCTCCATTACTGGCAGTGGCCCTTGCACAGCAGCTTATTACCTTCATTGCCTTGTTCTCTTGTCTCCCTAGAATTCCAGTTTGTCATACAGTCCAATACTTCTCAAAGGTTCTGACAGGGTTTTCCTAAATCCTTTCTTTCTGTGTTTATTTCTTGTGCCCTTCTCTCATTCCTGTGCCCTCCTCCTCAACCTTCTCAGTCTTCTCTTCATTAAGCTGAACATACCTAGTTCTTTAAGAAGTTCTTCATAGGATTTAGCCTCCAGTCCCCTTATCATCTTTGTTGCTCTTCTCTGCACCTGTTCCAGGGCCTCAGCATCTTTTTTTGTATTGTGGTGACCAGAACTGAACACATCACTCCAAGTGTGGCCTCACCAGCACGGTATAGAGTGACACCATCACTTCCCGTAATCTTGATGCTATCCCCTTGTTGTTGCAGCCTAGGACTGTGTTGGCTTTCTTGGCAGCTGCAGCACACTGCTGACTCATCCTTAGGCAGTGGTCCACCAGGACACCTAAATCCCTCTCACAGGTATTACTGTCAAGCCAGGTACCATCTATCCTGTACCTGTACTTCTAGTTTCTCCAGTGCAGGACCTTACTTTTCCTGCCACTGAACTGCATCTTATTGGATAGGGCCCGATGTTCAAATCTGTCTAGATCCTTCTGAATGCTGAGTCTATCTTCCAAAGTATTAGCAATTCCCCCCAGCTTTGTCTCATCGGCAAATTTGATGAGTATTCCTTCAATCCCCCCATCCAGGTCATTTATGAAGATGTTGAAGAGCATTGGGCCCAAGACAGAACCCTGAGGGACCCCACTGGACACTTCCCTCCACTTAATTGTGGTTCCATTGAGGACCACACTTTGATGGTTTGTGGTTGGTAAGCTAGCTGCAAATCCATCTGGCAGCTGTGCTGTCTATCCTACTTTGTTCTATCTTACGCAGAAGTAGGTTGTGGTCTACCTTATCAAATGCCATACTGAAGTCTAAGTATACTATATCCACTGTGTTTCCTTGGACCACTAATTTAGCCACTTTATTAAAGAAGACTATAAGATGATGGGAGCTAATCCAAAAAGTAACTTTTCCAAATTCTGCATCTGTATTAGTGGAAATGCAAAATGCATCAACTACTCATCATGCTTACATTTCTTTGGACAAAAATGTATAAGGCATTCATTACGTTGGAATGATCAGTGCTGGATAGCTCAATGTTTTAGCTATCTGGCTGCAGAGCCAGAAGTTGGGCATTCTATTCCCCACTGTGCCTCCTTGACAAAGGCTGGATTCTGCATTTCTAAGATGATGATGATGATTGGAAGTCTTAATCAGAACACCTTGGGTTGCATTTCGCTAATTTTTTTAAATGTGTGACCTTCCTTCCTTCCTTCCTTCCTTCCTTCCTTCCTTCCTTCCTTCCTTGAAGCAAGTCATCCTTCCTTCCTTCCTTCCTTCCTTCCTTCCTTCCTTCCTTCCTTTTCACTTCTTCCTTTTCACTTCATTTTTTGTTTGTTTCACTTCCTCTGTCTGTAGCCATCAGCTGCCCAGCCAACAGCCACTATGAGATCTGCACTACACTTTGCGATGCCAGCTGTGCCAGCTTGTACGCGCCATTCCAGTGCACTAGAAATTGTTTTGAAGGCTGCCAGTGCAATGACGGCTACATGGTTGATGGAGACACCTGTGTGCCTATAGACAGGTGTGGCTGTATGCAAGATGGACTTTACCTCAAGGTATGTCTTCATATTCCACCAATCATGTTTTGGCCATTCTGAAAGAAAAAAGGGAAAGTGGGTGGATAGGGATATTTTGGGGCCACCCAGCAGAGCTGTTTTGAGAAAACTGAGAGCTGGAGCAGCCATGAAGTCTAACAGGGTAGGTGATTGAGGTGGAATCCAGGCACGGCAAATGATCCTACTCTTTGCCTGCCCCGCCCCATTCCATCAACCCACAAATGTTCCCTGTATTGGGGACCAGCCATTCCACAGATTGTCTTTTTAAAAAACACCTGGTTCTTTGGGGTTCTCAGAGCCTAGACCTTATGCAGCATCATTTTGAATAAATAGCCAGTCTTGAGAGGTAAAAATGAAAGAAATATAAAAAATAAAGAGGATAAATATGCTGTGGCACCTCAAAGACTACCTGCTATATTTTAATGTGGGTTGTCGTGGACAAATCCACTTCCACGAGAGATCATATTAAAATTTAGCAGGTAGTCTTTAAGGTGCCACTACGTTTTTCTCCTCTTTAATTTTTCATACAGTGGACCCTTGACTTACAGACGGCTTGACTTACAGACTTTTTGAGTTACAGACTTCTCTGAACCCACATTAAAATATAGCAGGTAGTCTTTGAGGTGCCACTATGTTTTTCTCCTCTTTATTTTTCATATTTCTTTTGGTTTTGCCTGTTGTGCACAGGCAAAACCAAAAGAAAAGCTAACATGTTTACCTCTTCTGAAACTACAGCTTCGTAAGTCTTGGTGCCACTTACTCATGAGGTGCTGGTTCTATTCTTGGGGATGTTCCCAGCTGCATCACTGAACACATGCCCAGCAATGAACCTGAACCTTATTAACGAGCAACGATTTGCTACAATTATTCAGGCACAGCTTGGCAAAAGGACTCTTGCCATCGTGTTTAAATAAATAAAAAGTCTTTTGGTTTTGCCTGTTATGCTCAAGCAAAACCAAAAGAAAGGTTAACATGGCTACCTCTTCTGAAGCTACAGCTTCATAAGTCTTGGTGCCACTTACTCATGAGGTACTGGTTCTATTCTTGGGGATGTTCCCAGCTGCATCACTGGACACATGCCCAGCAATGAACCTGAACCTTATTAACGAGCAACGATTTGCTACAATTATTCAGGCACAGCTTGGCAAAAGGACTCTTGCCATCGTGTTTAAATAAATAAAAAGAAACAAATCTTCTTTCATTATTTGTGCTTTTCCCACTCAATGTCACAACTGGATTCATTTTTCTGGGGATTTTCCAACAGGCTGGAGGAAGTATTCTCTCGAAGAACTGCACAGAGAAATACACCTGCAATGCTCCTGGCCGGGTGACCCTAAAGGCAACCGGCTGCCGATCTGATGAAATCTGCTCCCTGAGGAGAGGCGTGTGGGCCTGCGAGCGCAGAGAAGGCCAGTGCAAACTCAACCTCACGGCCCGGCTCACATCTTTTGATGGGGCCTCTGGAAATTACCTCTGCAGCGGTGTTTATGATGTGGCTTCCGTTTGTGACGAAAGCTCCCTCTCCTGGTTCAGAGTGGCTGTGAGCATCGGAAAGGACAGTGAGGATGCCTTGGTTGTCGGGAGGGCTGCCTACATTTACTTCCGGGAAGCATCCATCACCCTGAAAAACAACAACAGGGCATGGGTAAGAGAAAACCAAGAAGACGAGGAGTTCCTAAACAGTAAAATTCAGCATGGTTTCTTTTTGTCTATTTGTTTTTTTAAAAAACCAGTGACTTCCTTAAATCATCATCATGACGTGCCATCAAGTAAACTCTGACTATTGTGACCCCTTTTTCAGGATTTTCCTAGTAATCCTCAGAAGTGGTTTACTATTCCCTTCATCTGTGTGTGTGTGTGTGTGTGTGTGTCTGTCTGTCTGTCTGTCTGTCTGTCTGTCTGTCTCTGTCTCTGTCTCTGTCTGTCTGTGTGTTCTGGGACTGCGTAGCTTGCCCATGGCCATGCAGGCTGGTTTTTCTCCCAGGAAAGACAGTGGAGAATCATACTCTCAACTTCTGGTTCCTCAGCCAGATACCAAACTTACTGACCGAGCTATCCCGCCAGCTATTCCTTAAGTTCCTTCACTTTTTACCTTTTCCTAAAGTACTGTTGGGAAAGTATGAAGGCAAGAGGAGAAGGGGACGACAGAGGATGAGATGGTTGGACAGTGTCACCGAAGCAACCAACATGAATTTGACCAAACTCCGGGAGGCGGTGGAAGATAGGAGGGCCTGGCATGCTCTGGTCCATGGGGTCACGAAGAGTTGGACACGACTAAATGACTAAACAACAACAAAATACTTTGACCTATATTGGGCTACTCTGTCATAAGACAAATTACTGCTCCTGGATGCATGGGCTGCTCCCAGATCCCACTGCAGTGGCTCACATTTATTTCTACAGCTGGTGGGAAAAATTCTATCTAAAGGGCAAATTCTAGAAGAGGCAATTTCCAATTATGAAGCAAAAATAATATTGTTGGGTAGATGCATGGATAGAAAGAGGTCCTCCAAAGTCCGAGGGAGGAACATATGGCCCCGACAACCAACCTCTGGTGCCATCTAACCCTGACTTATGTGATCCAGCAAAACAGGAGGCTAATTGGGGCTCTTCAGGTGTCGCCAGGCTATAATAAACATCAATTGCATGGGATATGACCAGAGGTCAGCAGTTATGTTAGCTGTAGTTCAGAACATCTGAAGACCCTGGCCTGATCTAGGAGGTGATTACACAATGGATTAGGCTACAAAGATAGAGGTTGGGAGTTCGATTCCCCACTATGTCTCCTTGATAGGGGCTGCAACTGATGATCCACAGGGTCCCTTCCATATCTACAATTCTAAGGTGATGATGATGATGATGAATGGAAAGTGAAGAAGCTGGAAAAAAGTTAGTACCTCTTCCCACCAGAAAATGAACAGAGATTTACAGAAAATGTACACATGTTATGTACAGATCAGTAAGCATTTTTGTGTAAATTATTATTTTCCATATTTAAGGCTCATGATATCCTTGGACCACACCTCCCAGGCTAGTTAGCACAGCCTATAACCAAGGCTTCTGGGAACTGTAGTCCAAGAACTTACGGGGCCCCATGTTTAAAGTTTAGATGGAAATACGGAAACCACTGCTGCTATTTAGATGCAAATACAGTACAGTACGTTTCATCAGTGCAGAAAGAACAGTGTCCCAGTTTCTCATGTGCTTTCTTGATTGCTTCTTCTGTTGTCTAAGGTGCAAATCCAGATGATTATTTTCAAGGTGTCCTCCATTTTTAGGGTTCCTTATACCTGAACTGGACAATTGCTAAGACAATCTTATATCCTCTGATATATTCTGTATAATTGTTGCAACCTGAGTGGTATTCTCATAAGGTTTATGTAACTTGTCAAGGCTAATCGTGGCTAATTGAGGAAGTGCCAGATGCACCCTAGCACCCTGTCAATTAGCCACAATTAACTGCCACAAATTTCATAAAATGTGTGTGAACTCTGGTAGGGTTCTGTCCAACCATATCCAGATTTTTCTGGGTTCATAAAACAAATTTAGCTTAGATCATTTGGTACAGCTGTCTTGGGTTCCTGCTCATTTTGTCATCTTCATGCCATGCACATCTTTGTCTCATGTCACAAACTTCATGTATTCCAGGTGAATGGGCGCTCTGTAAAGCTACCACATCAAGTCTCCAAAGACATATCCGTGAGAGAGCTTAAGAATGGCATCTTGGTTGACCGAGCCTCTCAGGTGCAGGTTCATCTTCACCTCAATGGAGAAGTGACCGTGAAAGTCAAGGAGATGTTTGCAGAGAAGCTGTGCGGCCCATGTGGAAATTTCAATGAGAATGGCTCTGATGACTTAAGGCTGCCCAATGGGGACTTTTCGGTGAATATTGCTGAGGTTCTCCATGCCTGGAATGCTAAAGACTTCTAAAATTTGTAAGTTAT